TCCAACCCAGTCTACTGCATCCAGTGCTCCCGATGTGGTCTTCTCTATGTCGGTGAGGCCAAACGTAGTCTAGATGACCATTTCACCGAGCATCTTCGCCTGGCCCATAATGGCCAGCCTAACCTCCCGGTTACCGCCCATTTCAACTCCCCCACCCCCCCACTCCCCCTCTGACATGTCCGTCCTCGGCCTCCTCCAGTCTAGCAGCAATTCAGAACGCAAATTTGAGGAACAACACCTTATCTTTCGCTGGGGCACCCTACAGCCTGAAGGACTCAACACTGAGTTCTCCAATTTCAAATAACCTTCCCACCCACTTCCCGGCTCCCTTTCAGCCCCACCTCCTCCCTTACATTCCACCTTTTGACCCTCCTTTCCAGCCACCAACCAGATTAATCCCTGCCATCGACCAACCAAGTTGTACCTACTACCAGTGTCCACCTATCACCACCATTCCACTACATCACCCTCTTCCACTTTATCTACAGATCCCTCTACCCCCCACATCCAGTCCTGAAGTAGGGTAATACCCAAAACACTGACTTCTCCTTTCCTCCAGATGCTGCCTGGCCAGTTGTGTTCTTCCAGCCTCCTGTTTGTCTACCTTGGGTTCCAGCATCTGCAGTTTATTTTGTCTCTAACTATGTTATTACACATCTCTGGAGCAGGTGGGTCTAGTAGCCAGGCCTCCCAGTAAAGGAAACGGACACTACCATTGAGGGCCACAAGAGGGCCCAGATGGAAGATAAAATGCTACAAAACAAGAGAACCCACCTGAGGTGGCAAAAATAGTAAATTACAAATCACCAGACAAGATGAATAGAGTCATGGAGAATTGATTAGATTTGTGAAGGAGGCCACTCTGAATATCTACTGTTGTCATGGTGATTTCAATCATTCAGAAAATTGAATGGATACAGAAGGCTTACCTCAAGGGCAAAAGAGACCAACAATGAAAATAGTACAGTAATCACAGACTGCTGTACATCGCAAAATGTGAATCGGAGCATCAAACCTGACATTTTATGAGGAATAGGACTACTATAATGAAGCACAAAGAGAAGTCAAGAGTAACCAACCAGTTTTAACTTCATTCAATGACATTATATTTGCAAAGAGTGCTAACATCCCATATATGGAATTTTACACAGGGTTATGAATGTTATGACTGCAAACTGAAGCTTCCTTCCAGACAAAGTACAATGAGGTGATGGTTGTCTGAGTGACCATTAATCAGATGTCTGGGCTCATAATTAAAGAGCTTGCAGTTTAAACCTCAGTGTCTGTAATTTGAGAAATGGAATTAAATTTGAAAGTTTTCAAAATAAAACTGGTATGAGTGACCAGAAATGGATCTCACTAATGTCTTTTTGAGATCAGGAATCCTGTTTTCCTTACCCAATCAAACTTGGTGTAAACGTGTCTCTAGTCCCACAGCTACGTGCTTGACACTGAAGAGAAATGGCCTAACAATGCCATTCAGTTGCATCGAGATTCAAAGAATGGAAGCTTTGGAGAAAGCTGACAGAAGAACAGAGAGAACCTGTGGCTAATCCAAGAAAAAATCAAGCCAGGGATAGTGGCAAGAGAGGAAGAAAGTGGAGGAGATAGTGAAGGGTTCGTGGGAAAATTGGTATGCAAAGTGAAGGGCAGAGGAAGGAACTGTGTTGAGACAGTGGAGTTCACACCAACCAGTAGGAGATCCAGCAAGTCACTTATACTGCCTCTTCCATAGGAGGGCTCACAAGATCAATAAGAGGAACATACTGAATCTGAACTACTCTCCATCCTTCAACAACCTCCATTGTAGTATCTATTCGAAGACCTCCAGCTTTCAAGATGCTTACTGAGACTTGCACCCTGGCTCATATATTCCAGTCACTGACCAGCCACACTGGGGAGCACAGGTCGCTTGCATAGAAGAAAGAAAGACTTAGAGTTACATTGTGCCTTTCACAGAACTTCAGGACATCTCAAAATGCTTTGCAGCCAATTCAGTACTTTGGAAATGCAGTCATTATTGTAAGGGAGGATACGCAGCAGCCAATTTTTGAATAGCAAAATTTCACAAACAGAAGTGTGCTAAATAAACAGGTAATCTAGTTGAAGAATAAATGAGGGACTAGACTGTGGAACAACCCACAGAGGTCTATATCAAATCAATATTAAGAGCTGAGGCCCAAGATACTTTAATACAACAACAGTTCCTATTGCATGAATGCTCCTAAAAATTCACTGATCATAAACATATCTAGAAATCCACTTAAGAAATTTTGAGACAATGAGGCTATTTTTGCTTCAATTTCCAATACTTCTAAGTGTGATGATATTATGGCCTTAAGTAGTTGGTCATTTCTATTAATGAAGAAAGGTTGAGACAGACGTGCCAAGCAGAATGCTCCAAAGGCAATAAAATAAACAGCTTGTGAGGCCTCGGGGAATGTTTTCCAAGTTGGAACAATAGATGCAGCCTGAATGGGTGGGGTCAAGCTCATACAGAACCAGGATTTTTAGATTTAGCTTTCAGCAGTTGCTGGGGACTTGAAGCTGGATGTGGAAGCTCTTATTCCTCTCTCTGTTACAGCAAAAAGCTGGGCTTCTCTTCCTGCTGCTGGAATCTATTTTACTGAATTTGCCCTTGCCAAGGGTGTGTTTTTGGGATACTACTACATTAGAACAGTTAATTAGTAGTAGCTATAATATATATAATATTCTGTTAAGCATTACAACAGAGTTACATAAACATAAGTTGCTGTAAAAGCTCAACGCAGTGTGGAGCTGGAGGAACACAGCAAGTCAGGCAGCATCAGGGGAACAGGAAAGTTGACGTTTCGGGTCAGGAGCCTTCTTCAGAACTGTAAAGGCTTAGCAGGTCTGGCGGCATCTGTGACAAGAAATCAGAGTTAATATTTCGTGTCCAGTGTCCTCAGAACTTCTGAGGAAGGGTCACTAGACCCACAACATTAACTCTGACTTCTCATCACAGATGCTGCCGGGCCTGCTGAGCTTTTCCAGCAACTTGTTTTTGTTTCTGATTACAGCATCTGCAGTTCATTCATTTCTTTTCAATATAGCTACAGTTCAGTCAATTCTTTTCTTTTCTTTTTATTTTGTCTGTATTTTAACTGCAGTATAACGTATAGTGTGTTTTGCTTAAAGTTGAGTAGTTTGACCAATCAAATTGCATCTGGAACACACCTTACACCTTAAAGTAAGAAAAGGCTAGGCTGTAGGTTATCTTCCTAAAATATTTTGAGGAGATTTGGTCTGATCTATTTTAACCTCTTTGGTTGATGCTTTTATTGAAGATCAGATGGGATGTAACTGAAGTGTTGGAGTCTGCAGATTACACTTTTCATTAGTAAACCCACACACTGCTGGATTTCAACGTAAGTGCAGGGCACCTCTTAGTTTGCTGAATAATATACACCACGGAGCATGGAAAGGCCAATTGTTATCTCCAGAATGGATTTCTCTCAGCAATATTCAAGTCACTATAATATGTATATACATAAAATTCAAGAAATGCAAGAGATGAATTTTAAAAAGTTCCCAGTCACGCATTTAGTTCATTTTTCATGTCTCTGTGGTATTAAAAATATCTGATTAAACACCTTCAATTTTTAACATGACTAAGGTATGCCATTGTTGCTGCAGTTTGTTTTGTGGGAGGGCAGCTATTCAGGCAATGCTTAAGTACGAAATAATGGCGCAATCTGGGTTTCAGCGAAGTGTAGGTGACACTGAGTAACAGCAATGTAAGAGAAATTGCAACAAGAAAACTGGTCACAATAGGGGGATGACTTAAGGTAGCAAAGGCTTGAGGCACTTTGCTGAGACAAATGATAAAGGGATGTGAGCTTATTCTGTAGATAAATCTGCAATCTATATGATGCATAATCCACTGCAGAGAGTAAAAAAGAGGCAAAAAAAGAGAACTGAAAGATACAGGGCAAGAACAAGTGAAAAGAGAAAAAAGAGAGAGAGGTGGACTGCAGCAGTTCAAAAAGGCAGCTCACCACCACCTTCTCAAGGGCAATTAGGGATGGGCAATAAATGCTGGTCAGCCAGCAACGCCCACATCCTACGAGTGAATTTAAAAAAAGATACAGAGAAAAATGAGAGGGGATTGTGTGTGAGAGCAGTAATTTGAGAAACATAGTGAAAGACACAGAGAGAAATAAAGAATAAACCAGAGTGGGACAGACAAACAGTGAGAGCGAGAGAATAGAAAGAGAACACAGAGAGATGGACAGAGAGGCATAGACCCACAGAATGAATAAAAAGATAGAAATTAAGAGAGCCAAAGATGTAGAAACAGAGAAAGAAAGCAGAGACATCTAAAATGAAAGGGGTGTTGAAGGAATACAGAAAATTGTGAAGAGAGAGACACAAACACACATGCAGTTAAAGAGATAGGCACTGATAGAGACAGCAGAGGGTCAAAAAGTAAATTAGACAGCAGAGACAGACACATATGGAGAGAGACAGATGTAGAGATATCCAGAGAAACAAAATAAATCAGAGAGATGGAGACCATCATTGAGATTGAGACATAGGGTAGAGAAAAAAAAGAGGAAGAGAAGCAGAGCCCAATAGAAGCCAACAGAGAGAGAGTGTGTATAATTATGGGTCTATTGAACTGACTCTGCAAGAAATCCTTCAAAACAAATAATGGAATCGTAGTAAATCCAAACATGGAACACAGACAAGAAATCTCATTGTATTCTGTGCATCATGACTAGCTGAATATTTGCCGTACATCTATCAGGTGAGACACCAAGTCGAGGGAACTAGGTAACACACTCAATCATTACAATCCCAGTGCGATGTAATTTTAACATTGCCCTATATAACATAATTGACCATATTTGACACCTTGGAAACAAAATACCACAAATACTTGACCTAACAGTGCTTTATTTCACAAATGTTGTTTGTTCTGATGTGTTCCCTCAAATGACTGGAAGAGAAGACCTGCCCAGAAAGAAAGCTATTACCTGAACACTTAAGTAACTTTTCAAATTGGCTCGAGATGCGGCCTCCTCGAATGCTCTCCACAGTCTTGTCTCCATGGTCTGAACAAAACTGCAGAACTTCACAAAGTCTGTTGTACTCACAAACTGCAGCACTGGGTCAGAAACAACAAGAGAGAGAACGTTATTAGCAAGCACAAGAATTTCCTTTAGATGACAAGCCCTGTTAAATCCTGTACCATGTACGGTTCTTTCACAGCCTGGGTTGGGAAGATTAAACAAACAGATAGTGCTTATTCCAACCTTCTTGGACTGCTGTAAAATGCTCAACGCTGACTTTTTACTGTTTCCACTGAAAAATAAAATTACTAAAAAATCTTGGTTGATCCAAAGTCACTGAGCAAACTGAGATTTCACTTTATTACAAAATTAAAATGCTAATACAAAGACCTGTCACACCGAGGGAGCGCTGCACTTTCTGAACTGAGGGTGTACTGCAGTGTAAGACAGCCAGTACTGATGGAATTCTGCAATGATGAACAGCTACAACTGAAGGAATAATACCTGGCCAAGTGAACAGTACTGATGGTATCACGCACTGTCCACATACTTGAAGAAAAAAAAAAGTCACACTGTTGTTTGTTGGAGCTTGTTGACTGCAAACAGGCATCTGTGTTTCCTACATTACAAGATATTTATTTGGCTGTTACAGTCCTGAAGCCATGAAAGGGGCTATAAAAATGTAAGCTCTCTCTCTTTACTTGCTTTCTAACACTTTCGATTGTTCCAAGTTTAATTCTAGCCTAAATCATTTCCATATCAGCTCAAAGCCAAAATAATCCTCTTCACATTCCAGTAGTCATGGAATGACAAACCCAGATGTCCTTGCGTTACTGATATTTCACTTAATCCTCTCCCTATTTCATGGGAAGAATGAAATGCTTCAAAAGTTTTCGAAATTTCTGGAACATGTCAAAATAGATACAGTGTGACACCATAGTCTGCCCACATACAGCCAGTCTGAAAGTCTCAAACCCAAAGTGCACTTAAGAAAGACCAAAGTTTTAGAGCAAACAGAAAAATTTGCATTCATATAGCACTTTTCACAACCTCAGGACATCCAAAAGTACTTTACTGCCAATGAGGTACTGCTGAAGTAAATGGTTGTCACAACTTAGAAAAGTAGGGTACAATAAGATTCCCCCTGAAATAGCAGTGACTCCATCAACCTCATGTCATGCTGGCGAAGGTGATAAGTATTGGCCTGACCTGCAAGGGAGCACATCAGTGGTTGTTCAAGTAATTACATTCGACAGGACCTTGCTTTAAGTCAAGTTGAAATCGCGAGCTGTAAACTCTGTGTAAATCTGGTAGTACAAGGTTAAGATATATGTAATTGTAAACTTCCTGATCATAGACACACTGGTTGCCCATACACAACTTTCTGTGGAATGGGTTTTGAACAATTCACTAAAATCAGGTTATCTGTTGCTGTCAACTGGCTTTGGGAGGTAACTGCATGCAAACTGGCCACCATGCTCCCTGCAATGCACCTGCAATGACATCTCAAATGGATTAGCTGCAAAGAACTTCGCGATAGTGCTACAGAAATGCAAGGTTTTCATCTCATAGAATCCCGGCAGTGTGGAAGCAGGTAATTTGACCCATCGAGTCCACATCAACCCTCCGAAGAGCATCCCACTCGGACACCCGCCACCCCCCAATCCTATCCCTGTAGTCCTGCATTTCCCATGGCTAATCCACCTAGCCTACACATCCCTGGACACTATGGGCAATTTAGCATGGCCAATCCACCTAGCTTGCACACCTCTGGACTGTGAGAGGAAACCAGAACACCCGAAGGAAGCCCACGCAGACACGGAGAGAGTATGCAAACACCATACAGGCAGTCGTCCACGGGTGGAATCGAACCCTGGTCCCCAGCACTGTATGGCAGCAGTGCTAATCACTGAGCCACTATGTCACCCCAAAATCGCCTAAATCTCCAGAGTTTATCTGGAAAATTGCTTCACATGAACTCTGAATATGATGTGGAAATACATCCAAGAGTTTCTGGAAGTGAGCATACAATTGGATTTGGGCAGATTCAGCCAGACCTGGAGGGAAAACCGATGGCCTGTGACAGCTTATACTGTTGCAGCTGACAAAATCTAAGTTATATTTAACAGTCTTTTGGGAATCACAATATGAAGCCTTTCTTCAAGCCTTCTGCTACAATATACTCACAATAGAATAGCATTTACCTGACGAGTGTTGTTGTGAAGTTGGATAGAGTACTTGTGGATTGGGAGGCATGCAGTTAGAATGTGGTGTTTGCAAAATGGTAGTCCGTGAGCAGCTTGAAAGTCTGCTAGAACAGAGAGCACCCAAATTGAAACATTTCTATCAAAAGGCCGTACATTTAGGAGGCCAAGCAGCAGTTATGTTCTGATACCAAGACAACAAGTTTTGGATTTAGCCAATCAATTTGAACCAGGCATTTAGATACCAAAAACCAATTAAATTTAAATCTGATAGTTTTAACAACATAGGACCAATCCTATTGTAAGAAATATTGATATGTCACCAAGGGTATAAAAGAAGGGGTATTTGGGCAAAGACAGGAGAGTGAACTGCCATCTGCCAGAGTTAATAGCTCTCAACTCTCAAGAGAGACTCTCACAGTCTTCTCTAAGTTTTAGAAAAGTACCATCTAATCAAAGGTATCTACGGCAAAACTAGTTAATATTACTGACAGAACAATCAACAGAGAAAGCATGAGATAACAAGATGTAGAGCTGGATGAACACAGCAGGCCAAGCAGCATCGGAGGAGCAGGAAGGCTGACGTTTCGGGCCTAGACCCTTCTTCAGAAAAGGAGAAAGCATTCCTGACAGAACATTCGATAGAGAAGGCATAGAGCATTCCAGAAGATACATAATCTGGCTGTAATTTTGAGAGACTAAATTCTGTATTTTTAAATTTTATTTTATATGAGTGGGACTTACATTTATTGGAACAGCATACTATGAGAATCTTGTTTTATTCGGGAGTAGTTAGTAGTTAGAAAGGATTTATTCAGTTTGTTAATAATTCAATTGATTTGTTCACGGTTAGAGTTAGATAAATAAATTGGTACTTGTTGATTGTAAAGTGAATGTCAGGGACTTGTTTTATTTAACCACTACAAGTTGCTGAAAGCCAGGTTACATCACTTTTCACACTCCTTTTAACAGATTATAGAGCGAGGTGCTCATCTTTGGGTGTTTTGTTTGTAGTTTTCAGAGGGGGGTCAATCTCAGCTTTATAACAGTGTCCAGCTGGATGAGGAATGGCAATAACTTTGGCTTTTGTACAGCACAGTAAAGATGTTTCACAATAGTTGAAACTAAATCATATAAAGAATCAACAGGACAGTTGACCCAAAGTTTGGTTAAAACGTTGTATTTTAAGAAGCACATTATTGGACAAAAATAGGTAGGGCACTGTGGGAACGGAATTCATTGTTTAATGTTATTGTATATTAATTCTATTTATATACAGGAGGTGGAGATGAAGGGCAGGTTACCTGAAACTAGTTGTTCAGTTAAGATATAAACACTTGCAATGTGCAACTTTGCAACTAAACATAAAAGCTTGGTTCCTGCTCTCTTTCTCACCTAACTAGGGATGCACAAGAAGCCAGAATTCGAGGAGGGTAGGACTGGATATGATTAAGGAGATAAGGAAAGGAAAACATTGCAAGGATTTTAAAACAAAGACAAACATTTTAAATTTGAGTCATTTCTGTTATGAATGATACTGTGTCATTCAGTGATCAACTCTCATACTCAAAACCTGGAAACCATAATTGAATCAGTGTCTTCATCTCGGCAAAGGTTAGGGGAAGAAAGTGTCGGGGAAAGAGGGAATCATTTGGAATGTAACAATTTCAAATAAACCTGTTGGACTATAACCTGGTGTTGTGCGAATTCTGACCTTGTCCACCCCAGTCCAACACTGGCACCTCCACATCATATATTAATCCAGCCAGAGGGAAATATCTCCTGTCAAGTGAGCTAGGCAAAGCACTAACTGAACAGCTTGCAACTGATTCATTCACGTTTCACTTAAAGGCCAATTCTTGGATGTGGCTCCTGATCACTGATATGTCATTTTATAAACTTATTGGTTTCCCTTGACAATTATAGTAATTAGTCAACCTGTTTCCTTGCCCTGGAGCTGTGATGTCTCCTCTTTTCACAATGCTAATGTAATTGGGTTTAGCACCATCTCTCTATGTAAACTCATTATTCCCCAGCTCTCAAAACATTCTTATTTCCTCCCTTTCCACTTCCTCTTCATAACCCAATTTGATACTCAATCTGAATTCTGCTCTCTGCCTTACCAACATGTCACACCTTGTCAGTCCTCAGGGTGTTTTATTTTGACCTCTCATTTTGTTTAATAAGATGAGTGGGACGTCTTTTACATTGGATTGTCAGCTACTATATCCTATGTCGTTATCACAATGCATGACTGAATCATAATAGCTAACAAAGGTCAGAAGGTACAATCCGTGGTTTGTGAAGAGTAAGCCACAACTAGGTCCTGCATCCTGATTAGAATGAGACGAGGGTCAGAGAGAGAAAAAACACAGGCAAAGTTCCTGCTCCAGTTCGTATTCCAAAGATTCCAGTTAGGAATACAGCTGAGGCTCAGATCTGATTGAAGATACCAAAGATATCTGGTTGGGATAGATGATGATCGGAGTAGGGTTGACTGAAAGGTCAAGGCTCTGTATCCAATTCTGGCCACTTAGCCTGAGTCTGGGTTGTTTGAACTCTCCCTTTAGGAGGCCAAAGGGGTTGAATTTCCACAGAGGTTCAGCCCACGGTTAGGTTTCACGACTGTACTTCACAAGTGAAAAGCTCCAGAAATCAATTCCGATGAAAAGATCAGTGACCTGAAAACTCTACTGGCCCCCAAGTGACAGGAATGAAATATTGGGGAGGGGGAGCTGATGAAACAGCAGGATGGCTCCCAAATGCAGTGCCACCGCTAGAAAATTTTGTGCTGATGATGGCGTGTCCCTCTGCCAACATCCCCAGCACTGTCCACAGCCCACCCAGACAAGCTTTATTGAGGCCAGCTCCCTGTGGCAGCCCCCAGGATCAAAACTCTGTGCCCTGAAGACTGTGTGTTGAGAACAAAAGTCAGGCCTCATATTTCCGAAGGAGTTTCGCCTGTACCCTTTCAAGGCAAATTGGCCTCAGGTCCCTTGTTTTTTATTTTTGATTACTTCTCCAAGGTCAACTCCATTTTGAGAACCTCCAAGGTCTGCTACCTGCCTCGGAAGCATCCATCGCTCCTGGTGCCACTGTTCAGGGTTCCAAGCTGTTAGGCCTCAGTGGACAGGTAGCATCAGGATCTTGCCCACTATCTTGAAATGGATGGAAAACTCACTGCTGGCCAATTACAATGCAGCAAAATCACAGAGTAGGTCCCACATCCAATAAGCACAGACTCAAACAGGACTAGCTGTTTAGTGTGACATGATGGTCCAGAGGCCCAACTATGATACTACCCATTAACTCTGTTTTTCATTCTCCGTAGACACTGCCAGATGTGTTGAGTATCTTTCAGCACTTTCTGTTCTCATTACAGATGTTTAGCATCTACAGTATTCAGCTTTTAGTTTACAATACAGCTTAACATTTCTCAGTGGTAGCACGTCCTAATTAAAAACTGGGTGTTCAATTCCTGCTTCAGCAAGCAACATAGGCTGACATTTTGTGTAGTATTGAAAGTGTCCAACTGTATCAGAAATATTACATTTTAGTTTAGGTCGTTAAACAAAGGCTTCATTTGACCTGCTCTGCGAGCCATTGAAATTCAAATATTCAAAGTGTACAATGTTATCTCAGGCAACTTGTTTCTTCAACCAAGGTCAGAAAGATACAACTGATTCATCTCATTACCATTTGCGAGACATGGGTGTAAACAGAATTGTTTCACATTAATAAGAACATAGGAAGTAGGAGCAGGAGTAGGTTATTCAGCCCCTCAGGCATGCTCCACCACTCAATTACTCCCTGAACGATCCACATCATTTTCTCACATTGTCCTAATATCCCTTAATTTGTTCAATTTCTAGAAATTTATCCATCTCTATGAATGAGCCTCCACAGCCCTCTGAGGTGAGGTATTATCCTGATGAGGGCATCAGTTTAGCTCAATTGGCTAAATGACTGGTCTCTGATGCAGAGTGATAGCAACAGTGTGGGTTAAAATCTCGCACCGCGTGAGGTTACCATGCAGGACTCTCCTTCTGAAACCTCTCCCCTCACCTGAGGCGTGGTGACCTTCAAGTTAAACTACCATGAGTCTTCTCTAACGAGATAGCAGCCCTATGATCTAGCAACACTACAGTGACTTTCTCCCAGATGACCATTATGAACACCCTGTGGCATCTGTCAGCTCTAACTGCATGTGGTACTGGGTAAAGGCTGTTTTAGATTATTTGCTACCACCCACCCTCCTTTGTATCAGCCTATCAAGTGATCAGTTGTCAACCGAGTGTATCTACAGAAGGGACACTGTTCTTGGATAACAAGAAGATTTATTGCATAATAGCAATGAATGGAACTACATTTTCATTAGGCATAAGACTTCAGGGAGCTAATGCATATGCATCTGTTTCCTAACTTAGAAATCTTTGTTTCCACCCAAAAGACTGCATGTGGCTTTAGTACAATGCATGGAGATAATGCAACATAAAACATTAACTCCTTCAGAACCATTACCTTATGAAGAATTAAAAAGGTTCAACACCCTTTGGGGTGAAGAATTTTCTCCTCATCTCTGACTTAAATGGCCTGCCTCTTATCCTGAGGCCATGTCCCTTGGTTACAGATATCCCTGCCAGGGGAAATATTGTTCCTGAACAAACAGGGTGCAGGGCTGGATGAACACAGCAGGCCAAGCAGCATCATAGGAGCAGAGAGGCTGACGTTTCGGGCCTAGACCCTTCATCAGAAAA